CCCAATCCTAATGGTCCCGTTATTATGGCCAGTCCTTGGTCCCGTTATAATGGGCCCCAGTCCTAATGGTCCCTGTTAGTTATAATGGGCCCCAGTCCTAATGGTCCCTCAGTTATAATGGGCCCCAGTTCTAATGGTCCCCGTTATAATGGGCCCCGGTCCAATGGTTCCTGTTAGTTATAGGGCCCCAGTCCTACTGGTCCCCTGTTATAATGGGCCCCAGTCCTAATGGTCCCTGTTATAATGGGCCCGTCCTAATGGTCCCCTGTTATAATGGGCCCCAGTCCTAATGGTCCCTGTTAGTTATAATGGGCCCCAGTCCTAATGGTCCCCTGTTAGTTATAATGAGCCCCAGTCCCAATGGTCCCCTGTTATAATGGGCCCGTCCTAATGGTCCCCTGTTATAATGGGCCCCAGTCCCAAGGTCCCCTGTTAGTTATAATGGCCCCAGTCCCAAGGTCCCTCTTATAATGGGTCCCCAGTCCTAATGGTCCCTGTTAGTTATAATGGGCCCCAGTCCCATGGGCCCCAGTCCATGGTCCCTGTTAGTTATAATGGGCCCCAGTCCTAATGGTCCCCTGTTAGTTATAATGGCCCAGTCCTAATGGTCCCTCTTGTTATAATGGGCCCCAGTCCCAATGGTCCCCTGTTATTATAATGGGCCCCAGTCCTAATGGTCCCCTGTTAGTTATAATGGCCCCAGTCCCAATGGTCCCCTGTTAGTTATAATGGGCCCCAGTCCTAATAGTCCCCTGTTAGCTATAATGGGCCCCAGTCCTAATGTCCCCTGTTATAATGGGCCCCAGTCCCACGGTCCCCTGTTATAATGGGCCCAGTCCTAATGGTCCCGTTATAATGGGCCCCAGTCCTAATGGTCCCCTGTTAGTTATAATGGCCCCAGTCCTAATGGTCCCTGTTAGTTATAAGGGCCCCAGTCCCAATGGTCCCCTGTTAGTTATAATGGGCCCCAGTCCTAATGGCCCCAGTCCTAATGGTCTGTTATAATGGGCCCCAGTCCTAATGGTCCCTGTTGAGGATCATGGTCTGTTTATAATGGCCAGTCAATGGTCCGTTATTATAAGGGCCCCAGTCCCAAGGTCCCCTTTGTTATAATGGGCCCCAGTTCATGGTCCCCAGGTTATAATGGGCCCCAGTCCCAATGGTCCCCTGTTAGTTATAATGGGCCCCAGTCCTAATGGTCCCTTGTTAGTTATATGGCCCCAGTCCAATGGTCCCCTGTTATAATGGGCCCCAGTCCTAATGGTCCCTGTTATAATGGGCCCCAGTCCTAATGGTCCCCTGTTAGTTATAATGGGCTCCCAGTCCTAATGGTCCCTGTTATAATGGGCCCCAGTCCTAATGGTCCCCTGTTATAATGGGCCCCAGTCCTAATGGTCCCCTGTTAGTTAGGGCCCCAGTCCTAATGGTCCCGGTTATAATGGGCCCCAGTCCTAATGGTCCCTGTTATAATGGGCCCCAGTCCTAATGGTCCCCTGTTATAATGGGCCCCAGTCCTAATGGTCCCCTGTTAGTTATAATGGGCCCCAGTTCTAATGGTCCCCTATTATAATGGGCCCCAGTTGTAGAGTGAGTGAGTGAGTGAGTTATAGAGTGAGTGAGTGAGTTATAAAGTGAGTTAGTGAGTGAGTGAGTGAGTGAGTGAGTGAGGTGCGTTCCCACATCACCTAGCGAGCCTCCAGACTTAATGAGTTACAGGGGAGTTAATATATTACTGTCTGATAATTATGTTTTCTGTGTATACATGACTGTGTGTGTATGATGATATTATTGTGTGCACTTCCATGTGTATGTGACTATGTTGATAGGATCGTGTGCATTTCCTTGTGGACGTCACTGTATATGATGATAGCATCGTGTGCAACCCCATGTGTACGTGGCTGTTTGTACGATGATAACAATGTGTGAACCCCCATGTGTACATGCGAGTGTTTGTATCATAGATAGCATCATGTGTTTTCCATGTGTAAGTGACTGTATGATGTATACCTGTGTGTACATGACTAATGTACTGTATTATGATGATAGTCATCAAGTATATCTGTCGTGACTACACTGTGTGTGTGTGTGTCACATGGCCTTGGTCACCTCAGTGTATATTACCTCACGATTAAGGAGAAAACTATTTACGAAGACACTCAGTATTTCCCCAACTTGCCTGACGCAATGATAAAAATTACTCATATTTCACCTTATAATTTACCTGTACAAGTTTCTGAAATATCGAAGAAAGTATTATCAATTATTATTAGTTCTAGTGTTGTACAGGTGACCATAAAATATGTGTTGTAATTTAAAGAGTATTATTTTGAAAGACGTATTTTTGCTTGTTTGTGGGATGGGAGGCAGGGGTGGGCAGGGGTGGGGAGGGGGGTGACGATGTTACGGACGAGCGTGAGAGTGTGATCCCCTGGTGTGTGAGACCTACCTTCCCTTCCCAGATTTTGCTGCCCCTTAATAATTTGATTATTGGACGAGTGCAAAGTATTTATATACCCCCTTCCACCCCACCCCATTTTTTTTTTCATTTTTAGATTGGGAGGGGAGGGGGGGGGGGTAAAGGAGAGGAGGTAGCAAATATTTAAAAGTTTAAATTGTTATTCTTTGTTGATTTTTTTATGATGAATTCCATATTGGTTCATAACATCACCAATGTGTTTAATGCATGTGGTTGGGTGTAGGTGAGAGAGGGGTAGTTCGGGTGTGCATGGGGGAGGAGGGTAGTTTTGTGGTATGAATGGGGGTAGTTGTTATGGAGGTGAGGGGGGTGGTGCAGGTGATGATGGTACTAGGGGAGTGGTGACGGGATGCACACAGGTAGGGTTATGGTGGTGATGGTGATGGGGGAAGGTGTTAGTGATAGTGGTGGGGAGGCGTTAGTGATAGGCCTCAGTGGCTCACAGTCCCACTAGGCCCAGTCCTTACGTCAGGGTAATCTAGGTGTGGCTGAGGGTAGGGCAGGAGGGAGAGAGAGAAGGACGGAGAGATGGCGATGGGGAGGGAGAGGTGGTGTGGTAGGGAGGGAGAGGTGGTGTGGTAGGGAGGGAGGTGGTGTGGTAGGGAGGAGGTGGTGTGGTAGGGAGGGAGGTGGGAGGGAGGGAGAGGTGGTGTGTAGGGGAGGGAGAGGTGGTGTGGTAGGGGAAGGAGGTGGTGTGGTGGGGAGGGAGGGTGGTGTGGGGGGGAGGGTGGTGTGGTGGGGAGGAGAGGTGGTGTGGTAGGGAGGGAGAGGTGGTGGTGTGGTGGGGAAGGTGGTGTGGTAGGGAGGGAGGGTGGTGTGGGGAGAGGAGAGGTGGTATGGTAGGGAGGGAGAGGTGTGAGGGGGGAGGTGGAGGTAGGAGGTGGTGTGGTGGTGTGGTGGGGAGGGAGGGTGTGTGGTGGGGAGGGAGAGGTGGTGGTGGTGGGGAGGGAGAGGGGTGGGTGGGAGGGAGAGGTGTGGTAGGGAGGGGGTGGTGTGGTGGGGAGGGAGGTGTGGTGGGGAGGGAGGTGGTGTGGTGGGGAGGGAAAGGTGGGTGGGGGAGGTAGGTGTGGTGGGTGGGGGAGGGTGGGTGGTGGGGGGAGGGGGTGGTGTGGTGGGGAGGAGACGTGGTGGTGGGGAGGGAGGTGGTGAGGGAGGATTGGGGAGGGGAGGTGGTGTGGTAGGAAGGGGTGGTGTGGTAGGGAGAGGGAGGTGGTGGGGGGAGGGGTGAGGTGGGGGTTAGGGAGGAGAGGTGGTGTGGTAGGGAGGGGAGGTGGTGTGGTGAGGAGGGAGAGGTGGTGTGGTGAGGGAGGGAGGTGGTGTGAGGTAGGGAGGGGGGAGTAGACAGGTGGACGCTGGGTACAGAGCTACAAGGTCAAGCTGACTAAAGCAGCAATGGCGATGCATCCTCACCCCCTACCTGCCCTCTGCCCTCACCAGGTGATCCCTCACCCTACTGCCCTCACCCACCAGGTGGTCCCTCACCCTACTGCCTCACCCACCCCTCACCCTGCCCTCACCTCACCATCAGGTGGTCCCACCCTCCTCAGGTGGTCCCTCCCCTACTGCCCTCACCCACCAGGTGGTCCCTCACCCCCCCCCCCCCACCACCAGGTGGTCCCTCACCCACCAGGTGGTCCCTGCCCCTACCCCTCACCTGCCCTCACCCACCAGGTGGTCCCTCACCCCTACTGCCCTCACCCACCAGGTGGTCCCTCACCCCTACTGCCCTCACACCCACCAGGTGGTCCCTCACCCCACTGTGGTCCCTCACCCACCAGGTGGTCCCTCACCCCACTGCCCTCACCCATCAGGTAGTCCCTCACCCCTACTACCCTCACCCATCAGGTAGTCCCTCACCCCTACTACCCTCACCCATCAGGTAGTCCCTCACCCCTACTACCCTCACCTGCCAGGTGGTCCCTCACCCCTACTACCCTCTCCCGCCAGGTGGTCCCTCACCCCTACTACCCTCACCATCAGGTGGTCCCTCGCCCCTACTACCCTCACCCACCAGATGGTCCATCACCCACCAGGTGATCCATCATCACCCACCAGGTGGTCCCTCACCCGCTATCACCTGCCCTTACCCTCACCACCACCTGCCCTCACTATTGGTTTGACAGTTGCCCTCAGGGTCGCCTCCCCTGTACTGTACCTCCCTCATTACCTATGTTAGCTGGTACTTTTTCTTATTGTTGTTGCTAATATTATTATTTAACTTGTATACGGTATGTCTAATTATTTCTCATTATTATTATTAACCTCACTATACAGTAGTTGATATTATTGTTTTTGTTGCTATTTCTGTTGTTAGTATTTTTCGATAATTATTTCTATATCATTTTGTTCATATCATCATTGATTGTTTTGTGATTATTTTTAAATTACTATTGTATTTACATTACTGTATATTATTATTATTATTGCCATTATTATTTTAATTTTAATATACTGTATAGTGTACTGTACTGTACTGAACTACAGTGTCACCACTAAGTAACTAACCCCTGGTCTTCCTTGACAGCACGAGGTGGTGTCACTGTCAGAGAAGGTGGTACTACGGGCGGAAGATGTTATCGGGTGGATGCGGGCGGCCGTGGGCGTAAAGTGGGATACTGGGCTCATGGGGGTGTACGGCCCACCCTCGCAGGACCCTGCCAATGATGCCCACTACACCCCGCCCATCTCAGGAGCTCTCGATATTAACGAGGTCCTCAGAGAGAAAAAGTTAATAGGTACGTCTGTCACTCGTGTTGGTGATGGCAGAGTGTATGGGTCTTGTTGACTGTATGAAGATCGTGGCGTTACAATATTAAAATCTTTTGTATTTAATAGGAATAGCATTTTAATTCCTATAAAATCTTTTCTTAAGGCATTGTTGGTACAAAAGTCATACAGTATTAAGATTTTTTACCTTTAGGGAAATATGTAGAGAAAAGAAAATACTATTACAGAAGTAAATTTTTAGTATCTACTTGAGGTGATCTTGGTGTGAAGAAATGCAGTAATAGAAAGGAAGTTAATGATTTTCCCAGGTTCATCTTTCACAATAAGTTTACTAGAGAACTGGGTTTGTCATAGCCTCTGTACAGAACAAAATAACCATATGTAACAACAAATGTGAACCAATCAGAACTAACTTGATTTATACGAATAAGTGTACAGTATGTAGGTTAAATTAGGTTTGGTTCTGCTTTTATTCTTTGATGTACACTTGAGGTTCATTGCAAATGTTGACCACAAAAAAATAGATGTGGTGCATATGTTATTTATCTTGTATACACGTTACATTTTTCCTGCTTTTTACCAAAATTCAGTACAGTACAACACAGTACAGTATTTTAATAGGTGGATTTGAATCGTGAAATTAAATTATGCTGTTGACATGAAGATAAACCAGATGAGAGGGAAGAAATAATGATGCTTGTTGAACTTTTTTTCAAGTGATGATTATCCTTGGAGATTATTGATTTAAGATACTCGGTATATAAGTTTTGTAATAAGAAATGCAATTAACAAAAAGATATTTAATCAGTAGGAAAGAAATTTTAATGCATATTATGTTTGTGCAGGTGATGTTGTTGAGCCAAACAGTCTACACATCATCGTCCTAGCGTTTGACAAATACTGTCGAATGCGTGGTCTGCTCAAGCGGTTAGAGGGCGTGGAGGAAGAGTACATGAGAAGTAGAATTGTGGTGGCATTAGGAGGCTTTGTAGTCCCTTCCAGACGCACACGAATGCTCTTCTGCAGAGACGTGTTTGACTACCCAGAACTAGAGGGCCACGACTTACTGTGTAATCATCTGTGTAAGTGTCCTTATTATCTGGAGATCCCTCTCTCCAAGTTTTGTTTCTGACATGATTATTTTCATTTAATGAATTACAGCACATTAAAATACAATTATTTGAACAACTTTGTGTATTGATGATTCCAGTTTGCAAATTAAATTTCAGTATTGAATAAAATTACTGTAGAGTTTTGGGTCACTTCTTTGAGACAGTTGCTAAGTGTTTTAACAGCCTACAAAATTCAGAATGTGTCATTGATGGTAGTAAAGAAGTTTTTGTAACAATAATTGTATAAAAATTTCTAGAAGTTTTTAATATTAGCATACATTACAGTATTATTATATGAAATACAGGGTTCAGATCAACTTTGTTCCCTTGCTGGTGCTAAGAGAATGCATATTATTAAGGTATAGTCCCAGTGTGATTTTGATGCATTTTCAATATCATTTTGTTCTTTTGATTAAATCACTAGTAATATATGTTGTTGTAGCTCCAGATGCTTTGGAAATTTATTATACAACCCCTTGAGAATCTGACCCTTGTTTCATTAATAGTGTATTATGTACAGTATTTGATTCTCTTTTATCCTTTGTAAAAATGTACCACCCAATTTATAAGTAATTGACAACAGTACACGAACCTGTACTGGCTGACCCAGCAATATCACCCACAGCACCTAAGCTTCAAGGTCGGCCAAGAAAGAAGCGGAAGAAGCCGACAGATTCAGAGTCAGAATCATCGGAAACGTCAGAAGATATCAGACCCCGTCTCAAAGGCAAGCCAGGTCTTACTGCGAAGCCCAATGGCATCAGAGCGTTGGATCGGAAAGGTGGTTCTCGGGCGCACTTGTCGCAGGTCAAAAATGACTTTTCAACGCCAGCCTTGAACCGTCTCATAGAGGTGGACTTTATGTCCAAGCTGCACAAGTTCATGAAGGATCGTAGTACACCAATCACAAGATTGCCACACATTGGCTACAAACAATGTAAGTATTTATTGCAGTACAGGACCTGTACAGGTATTGGAAATACTTGTATTGTGCCACCACAGTGACCAGTAGCTAAGACATGTGATGTTTGTCATGTCCATCTGTATCACACTTTGTTTCTGTTTGATAGCTTTTGTCTCTGTGAATGTATCTCAACCTAACTTAGTAGACAAGTATCTCATGTTCAGGAAAGATACATACAGTACTGTACAGTACTGTATTGATTTTCAGCCATCAGGCAAAGTCACATGCTAAATTTTCTTTTTATTCAAATTTGTATACAGTATTACAGTAGTATACTATACTGTAGTATATCTTGGTCAGACTTGGTACATGAAGCTTATCATTACAATACACAGGGAAGATACTGTTATTTTTAGAGTAGTAGACCAAAGATCAGTGTCACAATAAAGGGTATCCATTGATTTTCAGTTATCTGTAATAAATGTCATGCTCCAATACAGCCCTTTCTGGTGGCCTAATGTATCTCAAACATTAGCTCTCATTTATTTAAAAAAAAAGTTTATCTTGGATACCTTGGACATCTATTATGGCAGTACAGTAGAGAAAATGAATGACAGAGAATAAAGGGAGAGTGCATTTCCTTTTGATTCGAACTACCCAGCACCCACCCATCAAGTGTCCTTTTATAATCCTGTGGCTCTCCTGCTGGTTACATCTGGTATGGATGCTTTACTGAAGTTCTAATTTGATCATTAATAATATTGATGTTGTTTATGATTGAACTTGTTTTAGATTATTAACAAAGATAGGAATACTCTTGTCAACTGTTTGTTCATAAATATCCAATAAACCCTTTTCTTCCAGTGACTGTATTTGAGTTAGTTTCATCAAGTACATTTATCCCATTGTTTTCTTTCAGTAAATGTGTTTGAGTTGTTTACGAGAGTGCAGCAGCAAGGGGGCTATGAGTCTGTAGGAGAGAAGAAGCTGTGGAAGCAGTTGTACGAGGAGATGAGTGGCACTCCGAACTCTTCCAATCCACCACAAAATGCACAGTCATACTCCAGCATAATGAAGCGCCATTATGAAAGGTAAAGCATACACTGATGGATAGCTTTTACTTCCTGATAGATAGCATACACTTTCTGCATCCACATTCTTTCCCAATTATGACATACAGTACTCCTCTTAAAAGTGGTATTGAAAACAGTAAACAGGCACCTGACACAACAGAATCATCTCTTTATTACCTTTACTCCTCGCTCACTGTTGTGTGGGATGGATCAAGTGGTACAGAAACCTCAAATAAGGGAGGGGAAATAATTGGGAGACTGATCCAAGACAAGTGTAGAAAGTGACAGGAAAGTTCAGAGGCATCAAGTAGAAATGCCAACATATACATCTTATGTTTGCTCTACACACACACACAGTATACCAGGTGAATCTTTACCATTCACATGTGACTAAGGCTTCATATTAATCCTCTCATGCATACAGTAAACTTTTGTTTCCGTGACCATAACAAAAGTCATATGGGATCACTCACGTGAGGTCTGCATATCTTCGTTCTGCAGCCAATTTATCCCACAATTTTTTTTTTTTCATGATTTATACATCACTGGCTTCATTATTGGTTTGGCTTTAACATAAAGAAAAAAAAAATGTTGTTCCTAGCATCATACAGTACTGTATCTTGGATATTTTCTCACAAATCTATCAAGGTATTGCTGTTTCATAGTTATGGAAATGGAATTATTAGATTTTTCCAACCATGTCTTTGGAATTTTGATTAGGAATAATTGTGGGGAGGGCGGGAGAGGAGATAAAGGGACAAATGTGACCTACCAGTATGGCTGATGGGAGAAACTGATGGACATCTGAACTCCCTACATCGGAACTCCACCCACGCTTTGGTACTTTCTGGAAGTTTCTCTTGCAAGATAATACAGTCATCTATGATGCATGAAAATTTGATAGAATTATTTTGAAAAATGTTTTGGGGGCGAATTTGTTGAAGTTTACCGATTTGATTCACATCACTGATGCAAATAGTGCTGCCCAATGATTTGATGTGATTCACCTCATGATGCGTGGAAGGGTGAATTCACTGTATTATGTAAGAAAAATTTCTCAGATCTTAATTATCTATTCTTTATTACTTTCTTTTGATTAACTTTTATGGAATTGAGCTTTTAAGTACAGTACAGTACAATACATGTACAGTCAGCCCTTGCTTTACGCGGTCCCACTTTACGCGTTTCCACGTTTACACGGTACCCTGCCGAACACGGAATGCTCACTTTCCGCGGTGTGTGTACCCTTTTACGCGGAGAGCGGCGCGAGCAGGGTGCGCTCAAGGTCGCCCAGTCATCAAAACATTACCGAGTTCTTCACCCGCCACCCACCACAGCCGGCCCAAGTCAGTGATAGTGAGGATATGGACTTTGAGGGGTTTGACAAAGAGGCCCTGCAAGCCTCTGTGGTGGATAGTGATGCAATTGATACAAGTGATACAGGTGAGGGCCAATAATCTGCCCTCTGCCTTGGAACCAACCCCCCATCCCCGTGTTCCCAGCCATCTTTTCTACTAATGTAAGTGTTAAAAAACCTAATATTATTGATGTTTCTCTTAATTATTAATTGTGTGTGCATACCATCAAAAAATTAAGAAGTTATTTTTACTGCAACGTAGGTATTGTGTCTGAAAAAGTGGAGTTTGGGGGTCGGCCCGGTCTCTATTTCAATTAATCCCATATGTTATGTTGTTCACTTTACGCGTTTCTCACTTTATGCGGGCCACCGTGGGTTCAATTGACCACGTAAAGTGAGGATTCACTGTACAGTATTTTGTTTAAAGCCCTTGTCATTGATATAAAACAGAAAGAATTGAGGTACTTTATTGTTTATTTAATTCTGTGTCAGACCTAGTGTTTATAGAGCTGCCTAATGCAGCAGAAAATGTTTTATTTATGCAGTATGTGTTTTCTTTCCAGACTGTTGTTGCCATATGAGAAGTTCTTACTACAAGAACAAAAGAAACTTTGGGGAATTGGTTCACCAAAGACTCCAAAAGCTAAATCTGAGCCAGGAGAACCCTCAGTATCCATCCTTCAGGTTAGTTGCTGGGTGCTCTGACTTGTCCATCAATTCATTGTGGCACAGCTCTCTTTAATTTATAAGATGTTTACTTTTTATCCTGAACAAAAACAGAAAATTTTTCAAGTGCATGGAACTTTAACTTGAAAGTCACTTTTTTCATGAAACAAAGTGACCAAGGAATGATCATTTTGAATGTTGAGTTACACTAGAAAAGTATCCTTCATATGAAAACCATCCACCTATGAGCTCAGGGAAGCTGTGCTTTGGGCTGACTAAATGTAACCCAAAACAGAAAAATTACCAAATTAATGGAGGCTTATTCTAGGCATTTTGTACCTCTCAGGTGTCTTAAGTATGGTTAACAATTACGGTTAAAGTTTATTGTAATAGTTGAAGAAGTTTATTTGTTAAAGTGACTTACATACACAAATAGTTTACATCATACAGGGCCAACTCATACAAGTATGGAAAATGGCCATAAAACTTTGGTGGTGATGAGGTAATAACAGAATGACCTGGAGGCACTTGGCTCTCTGTTGTTTCCTGAAACGGAGAACTGTCCAAGACAGTGAGTCGTTGGTGATAAGAAACAAACAACTGACATGTGATAGCTGTAATAGGGTAATTGTGCATGGTTTACACAAGTGAGGTCTGCCTTTCGGTAAACAGTGAGATTTAGAATGATTTATTTACACCATCATTATGAACTCTTGTTGAACAGCTATATAAATAATAGTTATTAAATGGCTGGAAAGAATGGCAACAAATGAAGGGGAGTTTGTGGTGCTCTTTGATTGCAGCTGCCAGCCACCCCATATGACAATGAGAAAGAACTTGAAAGGGTGGAAAAATATACCTAATTAGATGAGTGAATACGGGTCAAATAAATGTTAAGTCAGACATTGTGCCATCTTAAGTGGCAGTAGTTTTCATTAAATCTGTTTTGGCTCTATAATCTCTACTTTTTCTTGCTGAATGATAATGTTTTTGAGTATTCCACACTTGTTCATAATTCATTTGCATTTTATTATTTTTTCTGTTCAGTTTTATAGTCATATCGTGCTTTATTACCTAACTTATCAGTACTGTAGTGTGATGTTACCCTTCCTTTATCTTTGTAGCAGATCTGTAGCATGGTTGATATTTCTGAGTAATTTTTAGTTCATATCTTTTTCAGGGTACATGTTCATCTTCTAAGTAGCTCTCTCACTAATATCATGGAATGATTACAAGATATTCCTTCACTTAGCATGATGGTATAACATTGAGAGGAATTTCTATTTTGTTTTTTGTAATCTTCATATATTGTGTGCTCTTGATATTTAACTACATCAAGACCTAAGGTCACCAGGGTTCTCAGAGTAAATCAGTTATTGAAAATTAGTTAGAAATAGAAGTGGTAGCTTGTAATAGGTATTATAAAAAATAATAATAAAATTTTGTGGTTCATAGAATTGTGTACCTACAGTACATATGGATCTCAGATTACAAGGTACAAAACACTACAGTATAATAAGGTTAAGATGGTTAAAATCAGTGATCATATAAGACCTTACAAAATCCGTTTCTGGATAATTGATGATATTTATATTGGCTGGTGGGTATGACTCCAGTCAGGGTTTGAAAACTAATAGTGTAGTACTTGAGAGCTAAAAAAAAAAGAGATTACAAGTGAAGTTCTTTTAGCTTGGTTTGAAAATTTTAATTTTATGTTATTAAGGTATTATTTCTTATCAACCTGAGGTTAGTACTTTGAACTAGAAAGGCAAAATACAGTGGAAACCTGATGGATCGTGAGGCTATATTCATGAACCCATGTGAAACAACTGATTGTTACTTTACAGTACAGTACTGTGATTTGTAGGGAAGATTAGTTTGGTTCAGCAGTGCAGTTTTCTGTTTCCCAATACTTTTATTTTTAAACCTTTTATATAAACAACTTTGTGGTTGAAGTTGTAATATAAAGGCTGTGATCAAATTACAGTTTGTTCAATCATTACTACAACTCTAGAAGTTGTGAAAATATAGAACAAAACAGTACGGGAAGAGTTTTTTACAGATGGCATCAAAAGCTGAATCACCACACCCTGGAAAGGTGATTTGTCCTAATGTAATAACAAATTCTACATGTAATATTTGTAGGAAAACTTCCTTACGTTATGATTTTATCATAGGAATATCAGTCATTTTGTATTTAGCTTTCCAAAAATATATCTTGACTTGGAACCATTGCTTGATGTAGGGTGGCCTGACCAGTAATGTCTTGGTGAGTTTGAGTTTTTCCGGGTTAATGCACTCACATATGAAAATAAGTGTTTCATGCCCTACTTAACTTGCTTAATTTCACTCTTGTTTAAAATTAATAACATACGAATTATATAGGTGATTTTTAGTTTTAATAATTTCCTGCTTTTTAATATTCATTTTTTTATGAAGGTTATAGAATTTATTAATGTTAGTTTACAATTGACCAGACTGTAGTGTACAATCTGTCACATTTTGTTATTTTCAAAATCACCTTAGTCCTTTTTTCAAATTTGTTGTAGTGCAAAATGCTGTGAAATACAGTACTATAAGAAAAAATACAAAACCCTGTGAAAGTCACAAAGACCAAATTGTTTTACCTTTTTTAATAAAATTTTATATACCCGGTACACAAATTGAAAATTAAAATTATTAAATATGGTTTAACATGTTAATGTCCTGATGGCCACAACAAGCTGCAGGTGCCACCCCTGAGCTGCAAATAAGCCCAAGACCAACCCCTGGCATGCAAGGGAACACAATAATCATTGGCTGGCCTGGATCCATATTTTTAAAGATTCAAACAATAAATATTCCTCATTACTGAGTACAGTATGTGTGAATGATCCTAACTTGATGACACATTAAATGACAAGAATATAATTCAGAAATAAAATAAGAATTCCACTGAGTTTCTATGTTAACTACATACTTTCATTTAGCACCAGTCAAGGGGATAAAATTAACATACAGAATCTTTCCAAAGGTTTTCCATCAATGTTGGAGAGTTGGAAGGGCAGCAGTGGTACCTCCTGGGGCAACCCCTCTCACCTTGTGGGAGGAGAGTGGAGGTAGGGGTGAGGTAGTATCACCCATATCACCTTATGCCACCACCCACACAACTTCTCACACTACCAACCAGAGGCACTACAGTACCCACAACTTTCCATACTTCCACCCTCGCATACCGATATGCCATTACCCACATAACTTCCAACTCTAACACCCACATCACACCCATGTTCCACTACCCAAATAGCTTCCCACACCATGTGATACTCATGTTACATCACCATTTGGTGACATAAGGAGCAGCTGACATCTGCCATCTATTCAATAACCCACAATCATTGGGTAGGTTCGCTAGGGTTGTGTTATTTTTTGTCAGCAGCTTAATTTTTTCTCTCATAGTTTTTGGTAGATTTTAAAATTTATTCATCTCTGTATTTCATAATTGTACAATAAAAGATATAACACTGAAAATGTATATAATTTTGAATGGTTTTCATATAATATCAATGTAACAATTGAAATTTTTAATCAAACTAGTCTAACTGACCATTGTGAGGTAAATTGAGCATCAGCTTCCCTCTCCCAGTAATACCAACACAGTAAAATACCAGGAAGACATCCGTGAGTAAAATGAACTTGAATATACAGTACAATACAATACAGTAAACCCTTGTTATTTGCGGGGGTTAGGTTCCAAGGAATGGCGTAAAACCGCGAATAGCAACTTATACTGTACTACTTTAGTGCATTACAGCTATACCCTTTTTATTTTTATTTTTTACGGTAAATTAGCCCAACCGAGCACAGGTTGAACGACTTACAACAGAGCCCAGGGGGCGAAAAAATAGAAACAGAAAGAAATTAAAAATAGAGAAGAAAAAGTTTATACTGTGTTAATCTACACCACGAAGATACCGGAAAACCAGCTTTTTAAAGTGAGACAGATTGTATAAGTATGGAAACACAGAAGAAGGCAGAGCATTCCACAGTTTGGCTGTGTGAGGAAAGAAAGATGTACTTATAACGTGTTATTCTAGTGTGACCGACATCCACAGAGAAAAATGGTGGGCACCGCGGGCAAGACGTGTGTTAAGAGCCCACGGCCTTGCCGGCGGTACACAGGATGCCAAATCCAACAAACATTGCCTGTTAAAGTAACTGTAAAAGAGAGAGAGTGAAGCAACATTGCGGCAAAGAGAAAGGGAAGATTGTCATCTAAAGGAGAAGAGTTAATAAGACGAAATGCCTTTGGTTCCACCCTATATAACTGTTGGACAGAAGAAGAGCCACCCCAGATATGAGAGCAGTACTCCAAGTTAGGATGAATTAATCCCTTATATACTTGAAGCAACTGCTCAGGAGGGAAGTTGTTACGGCATCTGTACAGCATTCCCATCTTTCGGGAGGCAGCTTTAGCTATGTTAAGAATGTGTGATTTCCATGACATATACCAAACAACCGACCAGCTGTGGCAGCACTCATCCCCTCTTTTAACTTATCTAATAATTCAATTTTCTTTGCCAGGATCGTCACTGACTTCTGCCTTTTACATTTCACTCTACTAGCATCACTAGCACTGACACTAGGCAGTCTTTTAGGGGCCATTTCACACAGAAACACTAAAGTTTTGAGAGTACAATACGAGGTGCTGCATCATAGGCAATGGTTGAGCAGAGGGTGACTCACTGCGCTGTGGAAAAAGGCTCGCAAGCTAGCCACCATAGCTACCATCTGCTTACCGCGAATCGACGAAATCACAAATCGCAAACCCGTGAATGGTAAGGGTCTACTGTACAGAACATGTACTGTATTTTTGTAAGCATTTCTACACAACCGTACAGTATAACAGAAGAAATAATTGTAATCAACATGAGGAATACTGTACTGTACCTACCATATGTTTTTTAACACACTTTTAGTGGAACAATGAGTTTAGGTACAATATTTAATAATAAAGAAAACATTAAAAATGAAGAAAAAAAATCTCTTAGACCATCACCCAACTACCATCACTAATCTCACTATCAGCATATTAACATTCCTTACAATGCTTCCACCATCACTCAGTGGCACTACCTTATCATGATCACCACTTCAGGTACCACTAGGCCATATCTGGAACATTTTAACACTCCTTACACAGTGCTGCCCTCTCCTCACACACACACACAATGCGGGTGGTCCTACCTAATTTCCCTCAGCACATCACTTCACTTCACCTGGCTCAGGCTTCAGCCCACTTGGTGACATTTTTCACCATGTTTCACAATGTGTCATTTCTAAGTGACTAATGTGTTGGACAATTGTTAATGCACACTCAACCCATGCATCTTGTCATGCCCTGGGCAACCTGACCTAACTCCCCTGACCCCTCCATTATGACTAGGTTGCTGCAACAGGAATAACATTGCGTAGCTTTCAAATTTACCAGCTGCCTCTAAACTGCTCAAAAACTGATGCTTATAAAAAGTTGAGCAGCCACCTTGTATGTACTAGGTGCCCATAAATAGCCATGAATTAAATAATAATAATATATATACTGTGTATATATATATGTATATATATATATTATTTTTTAATTCATGGCTATTTATGGGCACCTAGTACATACACGGTAGCTGCTCACTGGCATTCTCAGCCATATAATTCAAAGCCAACTACTGATTGGTGCTCAGATTCTTACATTGTGCTCCCACACCCACTCTGAGCTCTCCCATTTGCTCTAATTCATGTTCCTATTTTCGCTCTGGTTCAACCACTCTCTCTACACTGTTGCTTGTCACTCGGCTCTCTGCTGTTGCTCACAGTGCATCCGACTATGCTGTGATAGGAAAAATAAATAAATGTCCCCTGTGAAATTGCTGCAATACAACCAATTATAATGTAGGAACTTGCGATCTATCAGGTTTTTTCTGTATTGAGTTTTAATGTTTATATTTTTAATAAGCTAACCAAAACAGCCTTCTCATTTAGGTTTTCAGTAGGATGTCAGAAAGGATTACTACAAGACAAGGGTTTTAGGGGTCCTCTTGCAACAGGAATACAAATGTAATTATATAGATTTCAAAAGACTGGTGAATTGCCTTTCTGTTACTAGATGAAGATAAAGTATTCTTGCCACAGACCACTTGAGAATGAGAAGGTTGCAATGGCAATCAAATATTGATGTTTTTTTATGAAAGTTTGGTTATCAAGGGTATAAATTATAGATGTTTATAGTATGTTGATGTAAGCCTAGGAGAGGGTGAAGCACCATTTAGATTAGGTGTATGGTAAGTATAATCTGTCATGGATGATATTAACATTAACAGAATAAAAGAATGATTAGCAGTCAGTCAGAGAGCAAATTGACCCATCTTGGTGATACAGAATGTGAAGTTTGTCACTGAATAACTTGTTCCATGTTGGTACCTTAGAATGCAAGAATGATTAGTGATAAGAATCTTTCTTTCAATCTCATAAAGATCATGCCCCCCCCCAAAAGCATACCTAGGAAGAAAAAACACTTGTAAACACTGGTTTGCAAAAATGAGTGAGCATACTGTACCATGTTTGGTCAATGGGTTTAGACTTGATGATGAGGAGTGTGGCAGGGAGTGGTGGTGCATGATGGGTGTTGTCTCTCACAGCAGCATGTGCCAAGTGACACCAAGCCCTCTCTCAAGTTTGGGGGCTCCTGTCACCAGCTGCTGCCTCCCCACGTTCCTCCTGGCCACCATGGGGGGGCACAGGAGGCACATGGGTTACCCAGTGGGCCTCACTCTGGTGGGCCCTTGGGTGCCTCGCCACCCGTGGGCACGCCGCCCCAGGCCAGCCCAGCACCACCCACCTCTGTCAGTCCTCCAACAACACCTCCTGAGCTGGCGGTAAGTTGACCTGCGGTGCCCTCTCACAGCCTATTGATGCTGCCTGGTGACCCGGCTTGGTACACCCTAACCCCACCCTCTCCTGCTTGACCCCTGCCCACTGGGCATGACATGGAGCATAATCCTAGCACTGTAATCACTTCCAACCAGCATTATGTAAATAATTTCGCAACAGAGGAAGACCTATAAACAAATCATTGGAGGGTATTTGACTTCTGGGGTTATGAACTGTAAATGTAGCAAAAAGAGAAGTGCTATGTTTATTTAGCTTAGGCCCCATTGATTACTAGCTTAATGATTAAGGTTCAGTGTGTAGTGTGTACAGAACCCATAATTACCTACAGGTCATCTTGTCTTGCCTGCTCTATAAATATGCATGCATACTAAAACTTCTGATTGGTACTGTTGCTTGCACAGAAAACTCCTAAAATCTGTTTTGCCTGCTCTCTAAATATGCATGAACACACTAAACCTTTTGATCACTCCATTGCTTGTGCAGGATACTTTTAGAATTTTAAAATTAAACAGTAAAGGCATAATGGAAGTACTGTATATTGCATGGTTTAACTCATATACTCCATGTTAAAAAAACTGAACTATGGAAAAAAATGTTGATATGTTTCTTCATGGTAAGTATCAGCATATGTTATTTCATTAAAAAAGATTTTATAGAGTGTGCACTTATACTGATACTAACCCCTTCTGTACCACATGATCCCTGGCTCTCTCTCAGGGTATGAACTGTATATTGCGGTTCAGCATCTATCACAGATACTTTTCAGAGTCCCTATGTGCTTGCTAATGGATCAAATTGATTAATTTTAGTGGTGTTGTACAGGTAAACCCTCATTGTTTCCAAGGATATTATTAATCACATACACTATGGTATGTACTGTACAGTATGTATAAAATTGTAAATTTGATTTTAAGTCAGTTATAATGGTCTACAGTACATACAATAATGTCTACCAAATAATTATCCACGTACAGTACTGTAATTTGCTAGATATACCACCTGTAAATTAAAAGCAAATACTCTTAACATTTACCTACATTAGTCTATAAAAGTATAAAACTTTTAATGTAATTGTTTCCATGTGAGCTGCAATATAGGGGGAGGATAGAGAGTGTGGTAGTGGGGGAGTCACATTAGCTAGTATAATGCTCACACTTCAATCTTGGAACTACCAAAAAATATACCCCTAAGATATCTTTATCTTTTGGTCCTTTAGGTGTACATTATTCATTTTGTTTCCATTACGTACTGTATTTTCATAACTTTTTGGGCCAGTTTCAAAGTCCTTTGATATATTAGAAGTCTGGTGCTAATGTGTGTTGAACAAATGAATTTAACTTGTTTTTTAAAGAAAAGTTGGTAGTTTCAAAATGCTAAGTCATTAACCCCATATTTTGCATGGGACAGTTCATTGAGGCTACCCATTTAAATCAGAGGTTAATTTTGATCTTAAATCCTCAAGATGTCACCCAAACCATGGTACAGTATGTGTATTGTGGTTGTGGTACTGAAGGGGTTAAGCAGCCCAGCAGCTTTAAATGCTTGTCAAGGAGTTTTGCATGTTGTCTTCAACACTTACTTGTAGAGTGAGATATGCAATATATGCAAATATTAAAAAAAAAAAATATTATCTGAATGAAAATGCATGTAACTTACCTAAACTAAGAAATTTGAAACACAAACATTCCAGTCCTTTTGTGTAGTCACCTCTTCAATGAAACACAAGTGACTTGTCTATGTCCCCATGAAGACATTATCACACAAAGCACAGTCGGGATCAAAAGTTGGCTCCCACCCAAAATGAAGCAGCATCGACCCCAAATGAGATGAAACAATCAGGATAAGTCAGTTTAGGTTCTCGTTCCCGTGACTCGGTTTTACCACGGGGAGCGAACTTTTGTCCCAGACTGTACATGTATTTAAAATGTATTTATTTCACTTTCTCTGTGGTTACCTGCAATGTTCACATGCACCTTTTCTTATTGGTTTACATAAGGTGAAAAGTAGATGTGCAAAGGCAAGAAAAAACAAGAAAGAAAAATAATGAAAATTAATAATTAAAAGCTGTTACAGTAGAACTCATCTTAGCTTAGTTACTAAAAAAAGGTTAAATAAAGAATGTGCATGCAGACCCCACATGTTTATCAACAATAAGATTATATTTCAACTGAATAGCATGTTTTATGAAGCTGTCAGTTATTTCCTAGCTGACATTTAAATAGGCAATATAATATGTACAGCATATACAATACTGTACTGTACATATTTTTATTGTCAAGTCAGTGTCTTCCTGTGGATCCCCCAACAAATGATCATAATGTAAAACTAAAGGGCAGGATGAAATAGTATATTTAGATCATGTGAAGAGCCTGAGACACATACGTGCATGAAAACTTATGCTCGGCATCAGAGGTTTTTGCCGATTTTTTTATTTATTTATTTTTATTTTTTTATTTTTTAGGGCTCATTTCACTGCCATGGAATTGTTTTATTACTTGTAATGGGATCTCTTCTAGCGTAAAATTATCTGAAAAATTGTATGAAACCATAAAAAATTTAAATTTCTTGAAATTTAAGCCACTTCTTTCGAGTACAGGGGTATAAGTTGAAAAAGTAAGAATATGTTAAGGAACATCTCGATTTCCATTCACATTTTCCATGTATTATGGTGTTCATTGATATGTACTATATACTGTACCAAAATAAAGAACAAAGCATGTAGAATATTGTGGTATAAGGAAAAATAATATAACACAAAAACTCA